GCTGATTTACCTAAGCATTGACAAAATAGGACTTGTAATACTTTAAAGAGCTTTGATCCTCTAACAGGAAAAATATATGTGAAAATGCTTTAAAATCTACAGATTGCTGTAATAGGTTATTAGTATAAGAAATTTAAATTAGAAAAAATAAATCCTTTGAAGTTGTGCTTAGGACGTTTTATTTACATTCCATTTTACAAATTTATTTTTTTGTCATTTCTCTTCACTATTAAAATAAGTATCATAATTAACTATAATATAAAATTCTTTTTTTAAAAAAGGCATTTAAATCTTCTGAGTTGCAAAAATTCCAGATAATTTGGTTTAAAACATTTGTTCTGATAGTTTGAAATAAATGGGGTCCAGGTAAATAAATAAAATCTACTGTCATGCAAACATTATATGTTTTCTGTTTTTACAGACAGGAAGCAGTATATCAAAGTGCAAGGGTCACTAACAAAATGCCCCCAGATGGGTAACATAAATGGGTGATGGGCAATGATGTTTCATAATGACCTTTGAAAGCTGTATTATTCCTGCATAAAGTCACAATGAGTATTAAACATGTAAGGATAATCTTTACTTCCATAGGAATCTTACTGTCTCCCATTTTTATTAAAATATGATTCCCTCCATAAATCTTTCATTTTCCCGTTTTTGATAGGAGTATGAGTACAAGAAATACTTACCTCTTAATTTTATAAGAAATGCAAATGTGGTACAATGACAGCTTTTTTTTTGTCTGGGAACATGAGAAAGAGGTTAGGACTGTAGCAAACTGGTGAACGAATGACCATTCTAAAGAAGCCCATTCTCTAAACCAAGTGTTACCTCACAACAAAACTGGGAGCTAGTGTTGATGGAATGTCAGACTTTTTTCACTTGAAGCCACAAATTCATATTTTATGCAAATTTTCCTAATTTTAAACTTGGGCAACTAATTCAAACATTTGTAAATATTGTCAGTCAAATTCAGCCTTTGACTTGCTGGTTTGCAATCTCTGGTATATACCATATTCTAGATTTTGGGATTGTGAGACAGAAAATCTATGTCCTTAATCCTGCCTTTGATATTTACTAAACTCAGTTAAAAGCTTAGGCAAGTAGTCTCATTTCACTAATCTAAAAATTTGCCCTAATGATTTCTTCATCAGATTATTTCTTTTACTCATAATTTTATTATAAAAATCTTTCAAACATAAGGAAAAGTTTAAAAATTTTACAATGAACATCCATGTACTTGCCACCTAGATTCTATTAACATTTTCCTTTACTTGCTTTATCACATGCCTGCCCATCTATCCAATCATCAGTCTATTTTGCTTTCAGTGTCTGTTTCAAAGTAGTTGCAAAATCAGTATACCTTTCATTTTTTTGAGGAATAAATCAAATGATTCACATAAAGCATCAAGCACAATATCTAGCACAGGGACAAATGTCAGAGTCCTAGTCACTCTCTTCCCTCCATCTATATGTACCATATAGAGCTCCAGTGTTGTTGGACCCACTAAGAATGTCTATACATGTGTTTATTCTCAAGCAAGGGGGTTTCTGTGATCAAGGGGGAGCTGAACTCCCATGCCCACCCAGCTGCAAGAGGAGTCTGTTTTACATCAAGGGAATCATTTACAAATGTAAGTCAGGTCAAGTCATTTTTCTCACAGGCTTCCCATTTCTCTCAGAGTAAAAGTCAAAGCTTTTAAAATGATCTACAAGGCCCTACAGGATTAATGCACTATGGTCTCTCTGACAGTGGTAGGCAAAGTTCTAAGAGGGACTCGTGATATCTACCTCCTAGTGTTATTCCCACAATTAAGTTCTTACATAAGAAAAAGGGATTATGCGGCAGGGCGCCGTGGTTCAAGCCTGCAATCCCAGCACTTTGGGAGGCCGAGGCGGGCGGATCACGAGGTCAGGAGATCGAGACCATCCTGGCTAACACAGTAAAACCCCATCTCTACTAAAAAAAAAAAAAAAATTAGGCGGGCATGGTGGCTGGCGCCTATAGTCCCAGCTACTTTGGAGACTGAGGCAGGAGAATGGCATGAACCCGGGAAGCGGAGCTTGCAGTGAGCCGAGATTGTGCCACTGCACTTCAGCCTGGGTGACAGCGTGAGACTCCGTCTCAAAAAAAAAAAAAAAAAAAGAAAAGAAAAAGAAAAGGGATTTTGCAAATGCAGTTAAGGTTACTAATCAGTTAAGATAGGAACATTATCTGGGTAGGCCTGGCCTAATCACATAAACCCCTAAAAAGCAAAGAGTTATTCAACTAGTTGGAGAAGAGGAAGTCAGAGCTTCCAAATCTTAAGAGGATTCAATGTGCCAATGTGCCATTACTTGCTTGAAGATAGAGAGGGCCATGGGATGAGGAATATGGATGGTTTATAGGAGCTGAGAGAGGCCCCAGTTGATGGCCAGCAAGGAAATGGGTACCTTATTCCTTATGATGGTTAATTTCATGTGTCAGCTTGACTAAGTCACTGAGTGTCCAGCTATTTGGTTAAACGTTTTCCTCGGTAAGTCTGTGAGGGTGTTTCTGGATGAGATGAACATGCAAATCAATAGACTGGGTAAAGCAGATTGTTTTCCCCAAAGTGTGTGATCCTCATCTAATCCACTGAAGGCCTGAATAGAATAAAAAAGCAATGAAAGGGTGAATTTGCTTCTTCTTCCTGGCTATCTTCAAGCTGGGACATCAGTCTTCATCTGCCTTCGGGCTTAGCCTCAGCCTGCAACTACTTAATATATATCACTGGCTCTCCTGGGTCTCCAATTTGTCAGCCACAAATCTTGAGGCCTTATCAGACTCCATAAGTACCTAAGCCAATTCCTTATTATGTATGTGTATATAATATAGATGTATGTATGTATGTGTGTATATGTATGCAATCTCATGTTGACTTTCTCTGAAGAACCCTGACTAATACAATCCTACAACCACAAAAAAACTGAATTCTGCCAGCAACCTACATACATCTGGAAGCAGGTTTTTCCACAGAAATTTGCAATAAAGCTCAGCCTGGCTGACACCTTGACTTCAGCATAGGTAGACAATACAGTCAAGTCCACCCAGAGTTCTGACCTACAGAACTGAAAGAGAACAATGCGTGTGGTTTTAACCTGCTAGATTTGTGGTAACTTATTACTCAGCAATAGAAAACTAATACAGTGACTTCATTGTTTACCATTCTTCTTTCCTCATTTGCTCAGTTTAGCCACAATGGCCTCCTAGTTCTTTGACAATACCAGGCACCCTTCTATATTAGAATCTCTGTTTGTCTATTCCTTTCTTCTGGCCAGAATGTTCTTTCTTTTTATAGTGACATGACCAGTTTCCTCACCTCTTCAATTTTTTCTAAAAGGTCACCTTCTCAATGCATCCTGTCCAGGCCCTCCTCGCCACAACCTATCCCTCCTATGCTGTTCTGCCGTTTTTCTCTCCAAAATACTTATTGCCTTATAACATACTATATAATTGATTTATTTATTGCATCTATCATTTATTAGTCTACCTTCATTAGATTGTAAGCCTACAAGCACAGGGATATTTGTTTTGTTTGCAAACATTCTGAGCACCTGAAACGCCCTCCTGGCACAGTAGGTGTTGACAAAGTATTTGTAGAATGAAATGAGTTAACTATATGTCACTTTACCTCTAACTTAATGCATTGTTACATAATTTATTACTTACAGTTCAAGTTATGATGTGCACTTTACACTCTTCCTCATAATAAGGCATATATACATAATGCATCATTTTATGCATGGAAATGTGATAGCAAGTAACAAATTATTTGTATAGTCATTAGTATAAAATATATTGGATGGCTCTTTCTCGTTCTTACATCATTAAGAGCTGGAAAACAGAAGATGAACTGAGATGTTTGGGAGAGGAGGGTGCGTGATACAAATGACAACTTGGTAAACCTAAGGCTTGCAAAACACTTTCTAAAGCTACTGATATAGAAAATTGAACTAAATGCCTTTTAAGACTTTTTACATTCTATAATTCCATATTATTCTGACCTCTACACAAACTCAGCGCACTATTGGCTCAAGATTTGATCTCTGACCTTTTTGTTGATGATCCTCAAATCTGTATTTATAGTCCTCTCTGAAGACCCAAATTCCTATTCTTTGCCTCCAGCTGCTTCAAAACGTCTCCACCTGGATATCCCACTATTTCCTGGAATTGAGTATGTCAAAATCATATGCATTCTCATGACCCTGGATTCCACTCATCTCTCCTTTTGCTAGTTACTTAGATGCTCTCTCTCCTCTTTTTCCAGTGTCTGAGTCATCTCTGGACCTACTGCTTCTCCCTTCAAATTTCCTCTCTCGTGTTGCCCTTTTTAAAATTCTCATTGCTGTCACCCTTGTTCGGGCTGTGACTTCCTCGCAGCTGGATTACTAGACAACATCCTAAATGGTTTTCCCACCTCCCATCATATCTGTGCTTTCCTCTCCGTCAGTCCTCCATAGGACCATCTGTTAATTTTCCTAAAATGAATTTAAGTATTCTTAATGTCTCAGAATCTTCCAATGAGTTCCCATGGCCTACACAGTAAATTTTAATTAACAATCAAACAAACCACAAACCCACAACCTGGCATATAAGATCTTTCATGATCTGGGCATTCAACCTAGTCTCTTGTTCCCAAAAATCCCTCCCTCCTTTTGTGTACATCCGTCATACTGAGTACTACTGTGTTGTTCAATACAAAAACAGATGTTTTAGACAAAAGAAAAGTAGAAGTAAAGGTAGTTTAAGAAATTTTTTTAGAATGATGGAATGATTTTTGCATGGTATTTTGGTAGTTGTTACAGTGGGGAACTCAAATATCTGTCCTGATATTAGCATCTTTCTTGATGTGCAAATGTTATCTTAGTTCGAGAAACAATTTTATAGGTAGTGAATCGCTGATATCATATGAAAGTAAAAGCAACCTAAATCTTAAATGGATCAGCCTCTGAGCTGTGTTCTCTATTTCTTTCTGCAGAGAGCCTCGCAAGGTGGTCCTGCACAAAGGCTCCACTGGCCTGGGCTTCAACATTGTCGGTGGGGAAGATGGAGAAGGTATTTTTGTATCCTTCATTCTGGCTGGTGGACCAGCAGACCTAAGTGGGGAGCTCCAGAGAGGAGACCAGATCCTATCGGTGAGTATGTTTCTTTAATCTTCATTCCCTCCATATCTGACGCTGTCAATGAAAAAGCCTTAACTTTCAATTATGATACCGAAAGCACCTTAATTACAAAGGAAAATGGATGAGAGCGTCATGACTTCTGGTGCATGTCACAGTTTTGTTTGTTTTTGTTTTTGTTTCCTTTGAGACAGAGTCTTGCTCATTCTATTGCCCAGGCTGGAGTGCAGTGGCACAATCTCAGCTCACTGCAACCTCTGCCTCCCAGGTTCAAGTGATTCTCCTGACTCCGCCTCCCAAGTAGCTGGCATTACAGGCATGCACCACTATGCCTGGCTAGTTTTTGTATTTTTAGTAGAGATGGGGGTTCACTATGTTGGCCAGGGTGGTCTCAAACTCCTGACCTCAGGTGATCCACCCGCCTCAGCCTCTCAAAGTGCTGGGATTACAGGCATGAACCGTCACGCATGGTCTACATGTCACAGTTTAAATGGTGTTCAGGTGCTTGATGCTTGTTGCACTTACTTCCCTCAAATAAAGGTGAAGGTGCTAATATTTTCTTCTAGATGTTCCGAGACACATTTGCATCCAACAGAATGTTGAGAAGCATGCCTTTTTTAAAATGATATATTACTTCTTTTATTTTAAAAAACAGACTTTTCCCCCAAACTCATAACCATACTCTAAACACTGTACCTTTGTAATGTGTATAGTTTGGTGCAAATGTAAAAAAAATAAAATGCATAAGATAATGCTATATAGAGTTTGCTGATGGTACGGAGTTGTAGCAGCAGTACCACTCAACTAAATTCAAGAATTATCAGCAACAATGTATTAAGTACCTTTTTTTTTTTTTGCTTTGTTAATAATTTCAACTTTTATTTTTTTATTTTAGATTTGGGGTTACACACGATGTTTCTTATATGGGCATATCACGTGATGCTGAGGTTGAGCGTACAATTGATCCCATTACCCAGATAGTGAGCCTAGTACCCAGAAGTTTTTCAATCATTTCCCTTTTCCTTCCCTCCCCACTCTAGGAGTCCCCAGTATCTATTGTTGCCAACTTTATGTCCATGAGTATCCAGTGTTTAGCTCCCACTTAAAAGTAAGAATATGTAGTATTTGGCTTTCTGTTCCTATGTTAATTTGCTTAGGATAATAGCCTCCAGTGGCATCCACATTGGTGCAAAGGGCATTATTTTGTAAGTAATTTTCAAGGCTACTTTATTGAGATGAGATTGACATAGAAAAAGTTGTACATACTTAATGACGAATTTGGAGATGTGTATGCACACATGAAACCATCACACAATCTATGCCATAACGCATCCATCACTCCAAAAGTTTTCTCCTATTCTCTTCTATTTTTGTTATTGTTTTCCTTTTGTAATAAGAACAATTAACATAAGATCTACCCTCTTATCAAATGTTTAAGCAGGCACTATTGGTGACTATAGGCACCACATTGTTCAATGGACCTCTAATTTATCTTGCATAACTATTATTTATTCCTCTCACAATCACTCTGAAAGGTACTGCCCCGTGTTCAAATGAAGATAAACTTCAAGCTAGTCAAAGTTTACCTAACTACAGAGAGTCAGAGCTGGGATTTAAATATTCCATTTTAATGCCCATTACACATACTATATCCCTTCCCTCCCTCTTTTCATTCTTCCATTCCATTGCCACTTTCTCCCTTCCTTCTAATTTTCCTTTCCTCTTCCTTTCTTTCTCTATTTGCTTTAATTTATTCAAATATTTATTGACTGTCTCCTTCTACTATGTCAAGCTTCCTCCTTAGTATGATAGGGTAAATCCATTGTGAGTGTTCCTGCCTATATTTTAATTTTACTAATCATGAAAATAATAATGGAGAGTTACATAAGGAGCCAGTACTTGTGGCTGATATTATGGTTCATAGTTCATAACTAAACAAAGCACTTAGTTTGTGGTTTTCATTGTGCATTTAGAAAAATTTGTTTTTGTTTTATGGCTGTGATTTATAAATAGAATCTTATAATTGACCTTATATTTGTTAGCCACCATTCCAACCCTTCAAAAAATGGGAAAATCTCCCTCTCTCTCTCTCTCACACACACACACAAACACAAAAACACACAAACACACACACACACACTTTACCTAAATAACATCATACATCTGTTGACTTTAGTAAGGTGTCCGGCAGTTTGCATGAATGGCATGAATGGCCTTGTCATATGTGTCACTGAGGTCCTCTCACATATGAAGGCCTCTGCCCACTCGTCAGCTTGCAGTTCTGTGGAAGGATGTTGAGTATGGGAGAGACAGTGTAAGGTCCCTCATTAGGACCTTGTTCTGCCATCCAAGAACTGAGCATCATTCCTTAAACTACTTCCCTTACCTACTTCAATACTTTCATGATATATAAGATATAACTGGCAGCTATCAAACCTTATTGTCCATGTATGTTTACATGTCTGTCTTTCTGTACTAGGTAGTAAGGTCTCTCAAAGCAAATTATCTATCTTATATGATTTTATATCCTTAATATTTAGCACAATGCCTGGCACATAGCAGTCTCTCTCAAAAAAAAAGTGTTTATTGAACGAAAAATTGTTGAATAAATATGGTGGCACATTAAGAAGTCACTATAGCCTGAAAGATTGACTCTAAAATTCTACCTAAAGCATACTAACGTATCTTCATCATCCTGGCTTACATTCTCTATACTGGGGTACCACTTTGTCATTTCATTACAATCAGCATTCATATCATCGTTAAATGTTCCCAGACGCAAAGCACTGTCACATGCATTAATTCTAGAGATCCTCTAAGGCATTCTAAGTGGCAGGATAGGTTGTTATTATTATTGCCATTTTACAAATCAGGAGAAAAGAGATTCGGAGATATTAAATGATCTGTCTATGTCTCCAGCTACTGACTATAAAGCTGAACTCAAAGTCAGTGTTCTCTCTCCTCTCGGCACAGTCTCTTTTCAAAATTTTGTCAACAGTCTCTATGGCACATCTTCCTAGTGCACACCACACTGTGTACACATTACATTCAGGAACACATAAAACAATAAAGAACTAATACTTACATGGTACTTTTGAGTCAGTCACTATCATAAATAATTTAGTCTTCTAACAACACTATGCCTTATTATGTTCACTTTAAGGATAAAGAAATTGAGCCACAGGGATGACATTAGACTCTCTAACTCTGTTTAAATAAAAAAAATCCACCAAACCACAGGCTTTATTTGTTTTAACCTCCATACATGTGAGAGAAAAAAATGAGCTAGTAATACTCTATGGCTTGACAAAGAAAACTCCCAAGTATTTCTGCTTCAAAAATAGATTTATCCATTTAAATATTATTACCAGGACCACATAGTAAATAAGGCAGCCAATCAGAATTATAGTCTTCTTTGATATTATAATTCACAGGACATAACAACAATCTTTGAAGTTCACATAGCATATCCGTTTTTATGTATAACATTTGCAAATACATTTGATGAGGAAAATATCTGCTTTTTTCAGTTGAGAAAGAAGAGAGAACATTTCTCCTTAGTATATCAAAATGTATTTCACCTATAGCGAGCTAGAAAATGGCTAGTTTCAAGGTTCACTATTGGAATTTCATTGCTTAACATTGAGAGAAAAGAGTAAACAGTCTTGAGAAGCTCAAGCATTACATTGTGGAAAGCAAAATGGCACAAAAGAATTACTAATAATGGAATATGGAAGATAAAATATTTTCATCTATAACTTACACTGGACATACAGGGGCAAGCTACCTTCCTGGAAAATACAAAGCAAAAACTCTAAATAACAATCTGGAGCTGGCTGGGCATGGTGGCTCATGCCTATAATCCTAGCACTTTGTGATGCTGAGGCAGGCAGATCACCTGAGGTCAGGAGTTCAAGACCAGCCTGGCCAACATGGTGAAACCCTGTCTTTAGTAAAAATTTAAAAATTAACCAGGTGTGGTGGTGCACACCTGTAGTCCCAGCTACTTGGGAGGCTGAGGCAGGAGAATTGGTTGAACCCAGGAGGCAAAGGCTTCAGTGAGCCAAGATTGCACCACTGCCCTCCAGCCTGGGTGATAGAGTGAGACTCTGTAAAAAAAAAAAAAAAAAAAAAAAAAAAAAAAAAAAAAAAAAACCTAAATAAAATTCAATACATATTAATAGGTCATGTAAAATTAATTTGCAAATAAGTCATGTTAACAACAATGTAGCAATTTCAGAGAAAGGAAGTAGAATCCCCAGGGAAGGGATCTGGGGGATATGTCTTTGGTCTCAATTGTTCTTCATAGGTAAGAGACTTGCATAATAGACAATTACCTTTCTCATCAGGGGCAGAATGTCCATTCCTACTCTCACACACAGACTATAGGATCTTCCTAGGTAATTTAGTTATTAATGGTGTACTATGTGCCAGGTATTGTATATGTATGTATATGTATATAAACACATATACATACACATATATATACACATACACACTGAAGAAAGAGAAGAGACAGTAACACTTAAAATATAGCATGTCATAGTATATGTATTCAATAAATGTTGCTATTACTATTAACAACTCTGCTTTAAGACTGTATCTGTTGTTTTTTAAAAAGGTTCAGATACCCATGTATAAGGAAGGCCTCTTTTGGATCGTTTGGGCTGTTCCTTCTTTGGGACAGGGATTGAACTAGATTGGCATTTCCCAAAGTGTGTTTCACAGAACACTGAAACAGCAGGATTGTAATAGGTTGCTACTGTAATAGGTTCCTTTGTACAGACTTCTTCAATGAAGAACTTCTAAAAACCATGTTTACCTGTGTCCATTGGAAATCTCCTAGAGCAGATGAAATCTGTGGTTTTCACAAACATTTTGACCACAAAACCCTTACATAAGGAGTATCTTACAGGACACCAGTAGTGGGAAATGCTTGAGTAGATTTGTTATTATTATTTGCGACGGAGTCTGATTGTGTTGCACAGACTGGAGTGCAGTAGTGCGATCTCGGC